TCCGGTCAAGTTGGCATTTCTTGTTATTACATTGACATTAATCAATCAAAATATCATTTTTTTAATGTTACAAAAGTAATACACTGCAAAAAAAAATTTAATTTAATAAATAAGTTATTTTTTCTTAAAATAAGTGCATTTTCTCTTGAATTGAGGAGGAAAGTTAGACACTTTGCCAATGGAACAAGATCATTTACATTTAAAATGAGAAGAAAAAACTGTTGCTTTGTCTTATTTCAAGTAATTATCTTATTTTCAGAGTAAAAATCTCATTGATTTGGCAAGTCATCTTATTAACCTCCTCAAATTAAGGGTAAATACACTTAATTTAGGACAGTTTTATTTATTTCTAGATCATTTTTGCAGTGTAAGGTCAATGAGTGCCCAATGAAGGGTTAATGTTGTCTTGACTGCAGTCCACAGGTTGAATTCTGCTCTCTGTCGGCATCAGCAAGGGGGCACATCTTCTCTGGTAATAAGCTTATTTACATATCAAATTAATAACATCATAAATGTGTAATGTACCTCTATGTATTAACTATACCTTTTTTATTTTTAATTGTGTGTCTGCTTTTAATCAACTCAATTCAACTTTTATTTGTATAGCCCTTTAGAACACACTAAGTAACCATTGCTGTACATAAAATCAATGTTACAGAAAACAGAATAACAGATAAGTTAAGAATAAAGTACAAAATACTGTTACTGACTGTTAATCGGAAATTGGCAAACTAACTCTGTCTATATTTAGATGCACTGCCTTGCAGAATTGTTCACATTGTTTATACTATTTCCAATTTTTTCACCAGATTTTAATGATTGCAGGCCTTCTCATTTTCTCATTCAGTTTTCTTTATTTTCATGGCTAGAAAATAGAAGATTCACACTGAAGGCATAAAATTTATGAATTAACATGTGGAATTTATATACTTAACTAAAAAGTGTGAAACAGCTGAAAATATGTCTTATATCCTCGGTTCTTCAAAGTAGCCACCTTTTGCTTTGATTACAGTTTCGCACACTCTTGGCATTCTCTTGCTGAGCTTCAAGAGGTAGTCACCTAAAATGATCTTGAACAGTCTTGAAGGAGTTCCCAGAGATGCTCAGCACTTTGTGGTCCAGCTCACCCCAAACCATCTCGGTTGGGTTCAGGTCTGGTGATTGTGGAGGCCAGGTCATCTGGCGCAGCACCCTATTACTCTCTTTCTCGGTCAAATAGCCCTTACACCATCTGGAGGTGTGTTTGGGGTCATTGTCCTGTTGAAAAATAATAATGGTCCAACTAAACACAAGCCAAATGGAATAGCATGCCGCTGCAAGATGCTGTGGTAGCTATGGTGTTTCAGTATGCCTTTAATTTTGAATAAATCCCCAACAGTGTCGCCAGCAAAGCACCCCCACACCATCACACCTCCTCCTCCATGCTTCACGATGGGAACTAGGCATGTAACGTCCATCCGTTCACCTTTTCTGCATCGCACAAAGACACGATTGTTGGAACCAAAGAAATCTAACATTTGGGATCATCAGACCAAAGCACAGATTTCCACTGGTCTAATGTCCATTCCTTGAATTCTTTAGCCCAAGACAGTCTCTTCTGCTGTTGCCTGTCCTTAGCAGTGGTTTCCTAGCAGCTATTCTAACATGAAGGCCTGATTCATTCTCCTCTTAGCAGTTGTTCTAGGGATGACTCTGCTGCTAGAACTCTGCGTGGCATTGACCTGGTCTCAAATCTGAGCTGCTGTTAACCTGCAATTTCTGAGGCTGGTGACTCAGATGAACTTATCCTCCGCAGCAGAGGTGACTCATGGACTTCCTTTCCTGGGGCAGTCCTCATGTGAGCCAGTTTCTTTGTTGCGCTTAATGGTTTTTGCGAGTGCACTTGGGGAAACTGTCAAAGTTTTGCCAAATTTTCAGACTGACTGACCTTCATTTCCTAAAGTAATGATGGCCATTCGTTTTTCTTTACTTAGCTGCTTTTTTCTTGCCATAATACAAATTCTAACAGTCTATTCAGTAGGACTATCAGCTGTTTATCCACCTGACTTCTGCACAACACAACTGAATGTCCCAACCCCATTTATAAGGCAAGAAATCCCACGTATTAAACCTGACAGAGGACGCCTGTGAAGGGAAAACCATTTCAGGTGACTACCTCTTGAAGCTCATTAAGATAATCTTAAGAGTGTGCAAAGCAGTAATCAACGCAAAAGGTGGCTTCTTTGAAAAATCTAGAATATAAGACATATTTTCAGTTTATTCCCATTTTTTGTTTAGTATATAATTCCACATGTGTTCATTCATAGTTTTGATTCCTTCAGTGTGAATCTACAATTATCATAGTCATGAAAATAAAGAAAACTATTTGATTGAGTTGTGTCCAAACTTTTGGTCTGTACTGTATATGTGTGTATATAAATGTATTAGGGATGGAACGGTTTATGAAAACCGTCCGAACCGAACCGTTCACATGTGTTTCGTTCGGTTCATGCGCTGCTCAATTTTCTCATAGGCGAAGCATGTACACTCCAGAGCAGAAGGTGGCAGTACTGAGACCAAAGCCAACCACCAGTAGTAAACAAGAAGAAGAAGCAAAGCCGCAAAGCAGCGTAGCCGGGTGTAGCAGAAAAAAATCAGTTGTGTTGGAGTATTGTGTCGGAATGGCGAGTGGGAAAGAACAGGAGTTGGAAGACGCGCCAGCAGCACTTTATAGGTCTGCTGTATGGGAGCGCTTTGCATTTAGAATGACCTACGATGACGGCGGAAAGAAAGTTGTGGATAAAAGTGCAACAGTGTGCAAGCATTGTGCAACACGTTTTGT